TGTTGGAATGTCTAATATTTCTCCGTGCCATGTCCATACTGTATAACTCTTCACAATACCATATATAAACAGGTGATCACGTATTTCTCCAACTTCTTGACGTATCTGATTCAAACATCGAACACATGGACAATAATATGCTCCTTTGATGGGTTTCCCATTTTCTCTTGCAAATTGTAAGAACTCTTCAACTCCATTTCTGTACTCTTGACTAATGCGACTTGCATTCATCCAACTTCGATTCATTATCTATATATTAACACAAATTAACTATTGACTCAGTTATTCATAATTTTTCTAACCTAAACTACAACCCTAAAAAATCGATAGTAATTTTGGATAAAATCGATAAATATTTCTACTAATACGATGGTAAACTAAAGGTCAATGCCTGAAAAGCCCTTCTTTAATGCATCTGGAACGGCCCGTTCTGAAACCAGAATGGGCCGTTCCAAATACACAATTAACACAAATTTAATGCGTCTGGAACGGCCCGTTCTGAAATCAGAATAGCCCGTTCCAGCTGCAATACTTTTGTGTTAATTGTTTATCTAGAACGGCCTGTTCTGGTTTCAGAACGGCCCGTTCCAGATCAACAATTAACAAACAACAAATTCAAGAAGAATGGCCCGTTCTGGTTGCAAAACGGGCCGTTCTAGATGAACATCTAACAGAAAATAAAGAAAATAATGCGTAGAAGAAACTAACCTCAAACGTGAAATGTGCAGACTTAGAGACTTAGAGAAACAACTTTGTGCAAACAAACGAACGAGAAAAACTTAGAGAGTTTTTGTAAACAAGGCGCGCGCGGGAAGAGGATGAAACGTTGAGGGCATATATTCACTAATTTATGTCGGACAGGGGGGGTCCGACGTAAATTATACAATCTACATCGGCCACAATCACCCTCCGACATAGATTGTATAATTTACGTCGGACCCCCCTTGTCTGACGTAAATTAGTCACCTTTTATTTACGAAAATGCCAACGTCGTATTTTTGTTTTTCTAACATAAATTAGGTGACGTAGTAACCTATTTTTGCACTAGTATATCAATTGTTATACAATTGATGCGAGAGACAATGTAAAATAGCATTTGTTCACTAGTGTTAGTCCTTGGCCACAAGTTGAGTTGGAGTTGTTGAGGTTGTCTAACTTAACTTAGAAGACAAAATTGGGACATTTGACTTGATGGTGAACAGATGTGTGGACTTAAAGAGCAAGTTCAGGGGTAACAAAGATATTGTCTGGAGGACTCGGTGTTGAGAGGTTGGTTGCCCATGCGAAGGATGATTTCTAAATGGATACAACATAATTAGAGAAGCCATTATTAAGACTAGAGGTAAGGAAAAAGTCAGGTAACACATGAAAGGGGTGGCTTTGAGTGAAGAACAAAGGGCACAATGGAAAAAATAGAAATAAAAGGATAAATGAAAAAGTGTGAACCATTGATATAAAAATATACATATCTAATGGTCATTTCCAACTTTCCTAGGATAAGGGATATGTGCAATTAGTTGATATTGAAAAAATAAATTACATTGATAATATAGTTGATATTATACTTAAAAATTACACTCATCATTTAACTAAAATGTAGGAAATGTGTTTCTCTTGAAGGTACAAAGTGTTTTATTTTTATACTAGTTACTAATAAATTAAGGTGATATCACTTTTTGATAATTATCTTCTATGTTTCCTTTTAAATGAAAATATTTGTTTTTATGTAATTAAATTGAAGTTATTAGACTCATATGTAATAATTCAACTGAACTTCAATTTTATAACTCTTTTGTCACTTTTACGAAAAAGTTATGATATAATATTTTTATTTTTTATTTTAAATAAAATATATAAGAAGACAAGAAATGTCTCTTTTACACTATTATGTGAGAACAATAAAGACTCAAATAATAATTTTCACTAAGCCAATGTTTTAAATAAAATCCTTTAGCTGAAGGGGGTTTATGTCTTCCTTTTAAGCATGTTTGGAACACGATTTTTTTCATTTGACTTCAACAATATCAACCATTAGGACTTCTATAATTTTCAACCTATACAATGAAATCAGGATATGATTGGTTCCTCAAAGTTAAAAAAAAAATCCATTGGTTAATATTGCAATCTTAAATGGAATGAGAAACTTAATTATCTTGGAATATTTTATATAACTATATACTTTTTATTCATGTTAAAATACATCAAGAAACTCATGTTGTGAGGGATGAAATTTGTTCAATATGATTGTATCCATATTTGCACAATGAGATATTTTTGTTTTCATATAGACTACATTGCAATTATAAACATATATCTATTGTTTTCCCCACTATGCCTCATTGTTTAATGGTGATGGTAAATTTATAACCAATGTTATTCACCAAAATAAATTGCCATCTAGCTAGGAAGTGAACGAAAGATGAATTCAAAGAGATACATTCTTTTATAACTTTTAAACATATTGAAAGAAAATTTTGAAACATTTTATTCAACTCCACGATTATATGATGAATTTAAATACCATAGCCCTTTAGTTTTCATGTAGTAATATAATACATGAAATTAAAAATATATTCATCATAACTAATATATTATAATCCCATTTATGGAAATTATATGCAAGAGACTCGTAGGAAAGATACTTTCTAATGTAACTTAAGAGTTTGATTGATATCATTGACAATAACTTCAGCATCCATTTTAACTCCAAATAAGCCTCTTTTTGACAATCCTGTACAATACAATCCATAGTCACCTTTCCAGTGATTTGGAAATTCATTTTTTGGCATCCCCTCATCGTTTAGAACATATTTGTAATCCTGCAATATAAATTAACAAAAATCAATTAAAATCATGCTTAATTACTATATATTATCTTTTTACTTGACGAAATGGGTACATATATTCTTTATTTTGGCAACATAGATAAGGAGTAGAATATTAGAGTTCGTTTGAGAGATTTGAAAAAAAATAAAACTTTTGCTCAAAAATTACACATTAATAACTACAAGTTATATATCTCATACCTTAAGCCACGTATTAACTATGCTTCTATAGCCAGTAGCAAACACGATCGCATCAAACTCTTTTACTTTATTGTTTCCAAAGATGACTTTCTTGTTCTCAATTCCCGTTATATGAGAAGGAATTACCTATTGAGAGTACAAATTAATAAGAAAATTTTCAAATTAAGCCATCTCAATACTAAAGTAAAATTGAGTAGTGTAAAGAAAAGATCCATTCTCAACTATTAATTGCAAATTTTGTTTTCTTAAGAATAATATATTTATATATCGTCAATTATTATGATAAAAAGTTGAAGAAATCTGTACTTAAATATGGTGAGTGAAAAAATGTTTTCGATTGTTGAGAAGGTATGACATTCTAAGAATCTTTTATTTTTAAAACTGCATAACAATTGCATGCATGGTTGTAACTTGTGAGTACCTTAATTGCCCCATCCTTAATCTTTGCAATGGTTCCGACATCGATAACCGGAGACCTTCCAATAACACCCTTAAGATAGAATGGTCCCTTTTTGGGGCGATAAATTCCATACTTAGAGAGATCACCATATTCTGTGTCTGCCAAAAAGGTAACCATAGTGTCCACAACATCAACCGATAAATGCTTCAGTGCAGACATACCTTGATGAACCAATTCTTTGGTGAGGACATGAACCTACAGAGTTATTATAATGTGTTTGCTTTGATACATAATATTCTCTAACATATAATTCATGTGAATAATTAAATTTATCTGGTATATTTTTTTGAAAACTAAAAATAAAAGTGGATAAAACTGAAGGTGGCTACAAACTGAATAAGTGGGATGAGAGGTTATAGAAAATAAGGGTAATATAACATAAAGTAAGGGGTAAAGTAGTCACATGGCAGTTAAAAAAAGAGGTTATCAGATAGTATTTGTTATAGATAGTGGCAGATTAGTTACAAACCAATTGAGGCTATAAAAGATCTAGATATCTAGTAGAGAGGGTGAGGAAAAATTAAAGGAACATTGCAAGAAAAATGCTAATTTTCGACGAAAATTTCTGACGGAAATAAGTAAATTTTTGATGAAATTTGGTATTTCCTACGGATTTAAATCTGTCAGAAAAAGTATTGTTGGAAAAAAAATTCCGTCAAAAATAGAAATTTTTGTCAAAATTTTCTGACAGAAATTTCCGTTGGAAAATTCTATCGGAAATTTCCACGGAAATATCTGTCAGAAATTTCTGACAGAAAATTTCATCAGAGATTTTCGACGGGAATATCTGTCAAAAATTTCCGATGGAATTTTCTGTCAGAAATGTCTCTCAGAAATTTTTACGGAAATTTTCGTCAGAAATTTCTGAGGGATATTTCTGATGGAAAATTTCGTCGAAAATTTGTAAGGGACATTTCCGACAGAAAATTTCGTCGAAAATTTCTAAGGAACATTTCCAACAAAATTTCCATCGAAAAATTTTAATTTTAAATTTCAAATAAATTGATTAATATAACTAATTGACATTATTTTTACCTGTTTAACAAATATATATAAAATGTAAAAGCTTCATCAAAATAAATTTAAAAGATAATAGTAATGCTTATATCATAATAATAAAACAATTCATAATTCAAACATCATATATAGTTAATTCAAATAGATTAATTAATATTTTTCTAATGTTAACTAATAATCTTCATAATTAGGAGTCTTCTTGATTTTTGTCTTGGTCATCTTCTTGTTGTTGGTTTTGATGTTGTTCCCCATTTTGTTGATCTAGGTTGATATTTTGTTGTTGAGAAATATTTTGAATGACAGTTTGTGCTTCTGTGGGTAAGAATTGCAAGACAATTGATTGAAACTATTGCAACTGACGAATAACCACATCATTTTCTGCAAGTCGTTGTTTCAATTGAACAATTTCTTTTGTGTCATGTGAACTGCTACAAGATGCTTTCCTTTTAAGATTGACGTCAACGCGACTGTTCTGTGTATCTTTTAAATGACTAGCAAGGTCTCCAGCTCCATACAGTCGCCCCTTAGTGGTTATGCCACCAACTACATCAGACCAACACTTAAACCTAATTGTATCCTCCAAAGCAGGGTCCACAGGATGTGATTCATCAACAGATGATGCAGCCTCAGACATAGCTTGAGAAAATTTATTGAGAAAATCTTCCTGTTATTCAACAAAGGCATTGTTTTACTAATCTTGTAAATATGATTAAAAATAACATCAATAATTATTTAAATAACTTACATATGTTTTGTTAGATCTTTCATCAACAAACTGTCCAGTTTCTTTTCGTATATGGGTCTGTTGAAAGACCTCACCAATATGCACTGAGCGACCAAATTCTTTTGCCTGCAAATAATACATTGATGTGAAATAAATTAATTTGTTGTAAAGTTGTAAAAATAGAAAAGAAAATTTTAATCCATACATACCATGCGCTTGGCATGATCATGAACTGTAATTGAGCCACCTGTATGAAGAGTCCCACCCTTTTCAGACGCTCGATTTAGTGAGGCTTGTGTAGACTTTACTCGAAAAGCAGCTGAATTCCAATGTGCTACCAATTGGTTCCACACATCTTCTCCAACCCAAAGTGGCCTTTTACCTGCTTTTCGAGCTTCATTAAACATATCAGACAATCTATGCGAGGCTTTTGAGTGAAAATTTTTCTTTATTTTTTCCTCATCCTCAGGTCTCTATGCCACCTTACGCTACATGAAGAAAAAACCAATGAAATAACAATTCTAACACATCAAAATGTCAAAGGAAATCAAATTCAAAACTTTTTCAACAATTAATAGAATTGATATCATGCAGGTGAAGCAACAAACAAATATAACATGAGGATACAAATAAATAAATTAAACCAAACCAAAAGCAATAACACAAGCATTTCAACTCAATTTTTTTTACAACCCATGTTAAAAGCAAATGTTTGTATCGAAACTACAATAACAAGTAAGTTCAAGTGTTTGTGAACAGGTAAATTAAGCATCAAAGTTCCACGTAAAGAAATGAGATGAACAATATATCACTCCGAAATTGGTACAATTTAGATGAACATATCATTGTTCACAAACAAGCAATTCATATGAATGTTCACAAACAAGAATTAAACAAGCAATTCATACCTTAAAACGTTGGAAGAAGACATCCTTATCACTATCTTCTATCGCTCCCCATGTAGGCCATGGATGAAGAAAATGTTGCTTAATGGTCTATGTGATAGCATGTGCAGCAATAAGGAATGGTTCAAACCTAAATACAAAAAAATGGTTAGCAAAATTAAAAAGACAGTGAATGATGAAAAATAGATACAGAGACTGTTTTCTATACAATATACATGTTCTTCTCGTTTGTATAGAAATTAAATAAAACTTCTTTTATTCATCTATTATTAAAAAGACATTCTAGTAAACATTTAATAAGACTCTTTTTAAACATCTATATAATGTAGTATATTAAATTAGAATACTCTTCCTTCGTTGTTTTTTATATGTGAGAGTTTTAGTAAAATTTTGTTTATAATTTAATATTTGTCATTTTTACATTAATCGTTACATGTTATCAATTATATTCTTATGAATCATCTAAATTAGGTGGGTTGAATAACTGGGGATGGTGTGGGTGAAGCAATTGAGGAAGGTGATGGTGATGGAGATGGTAAGTTTGATGGGGTTTGAGTAAATGATCCTGTGGTATTTGTTCCTAGAAATAATTTAATTACATAATGTGACTTCTTCGACTTTCCTTTCTCCTTTCCCTTATTACCAAGAGAGGAACCTTCTCCTGTCATATCTATATAGGAATAATAATATTGTGAATAATAAATCAAAATTAACATGTATAAATATAATGAGATAAATCAAAATTAACATGTATAAATAATATTATGATTAAGTGATTCAAATGCATCATAAAAATCAAAATTAACATGTATAAATAATATTATCATTAAGTGATTCAAATGCATCATAAAAACAGAGAACTAAATAGAGGGATAAAACCAATATAATCATTGTGATAAATGAATATAATTGTACCTCAAAATACATACAAATAAAGTGTAGAATCCCGTCCTAGCAACTTTTTAAGACATTTATCTTTATTTCCTAATCCTCTTCAGAGCTATATCCATCAAAGTCTTCTTCTAATTCCCCTTCATTTGATTCCTCTTCTTCCTCCTCTTCCTCTTGTACTTCAACATGTTGTAGGGGTTCTTCAGGCTCATCAACTTCTTCAAGATCACCTTGTACATCCTGTAATCATAAAATACCTTCAACTTCAATGACTTCATTAGTATGTGTCATTTCATCTACCTGGTAAGCCACTTCATCTTCCACTTCATCAAATTCTATACGACCCCTTGGCACTCTTTATATCTTGCATCAATTCGAATATCCACTATATTATATTTTGGATCCACTCTTGTACCTCTTCTTGACGGATCAAACCAATCACAATAAAATACAACCACTTTCTTAGGATAACTTAAAGTATTGTACTGAAGTTCATATATGTGTTGAATGACCCCATAGAAATCATCTTCACCTCCTTCTGTAATGCCCTTTACATAAACTTCACTATTAATGGTCTTTTTATCCTTGCACCATGCATAAGTTTGAAACTTGTACCCATTAACAAAATATGTGTGCCATTCTTTAACACATCTAAATGGCTTATTTGACAAATCCCTTAAGTGTTGGTTTCTCCCATTTAAAGGCTCGTTATGAACCTGTGTGCCTATAAGACACATGAAAAGCAATATTTTAATTAATGTATATATAATGGGGAATTAAAATAAATTGTTATATACATACTTGTTCCTTGAACCATCTAGGAAAATCAGCATGTATACGAACAAAAGCATTTTCTTGAGTTTGCATGAATAAACTGCCCAAATATATCACTGGAAGGGTGAGTTAAAGATCAGAATACAAGATAAGTTGTACAATAATGAAAACATTCATTGTCTAATGCTTACTCAAGGTACGATTTAACTTCAGTGCAGTTGATCAAGACATGAACATGGGCTGAATTGTGTTGTTCATCGGTTAACCATTTAATCAACTCCTTACCAGAATGGCGACCAGGTTGGTTAAAGACTGATAACATCGGTGGGAGATTTTCCCTTTCATTTACCATTTCGTTTCTATTACTCGTTGTTGATAACATGAAGTGATTGAAATAATGGGAACAAAAATGAGTTGTCTCTCGGTGCAAGTAAGACGCACAAATTGATCCTTCAACCCTTGCCTTATTTTTCACTGATCGTTTAGAAATGCCCATGAATCTACAAAATTAAATAACTACGTGATGGTTGACAAGCATTAAAAAATTAAATATAATATTTTTTTAATTTTAATACCTTTCAAATGGGTACATCCATCTATATTGCCCGGTCCACCAAGACTTGCTTCATATGGAAGATGAATAGGCAAATGCTAAATTAAATAAAAAAAAACTAGGAGGAAATATTCTTTCCAACTTGCAGAGTATTATTGGAATATTTTATTTTATCCTAGATAAGTCATCCTCCTTCAATGTTGCAGAGCATAAATCTTTGAAGAAATGACTAACTTCAATCAGTGGATTTAAAACATGCTTCGGTAAGGAACTAAATGCAATAGGAAGTAAGCACTCCATGAATACATGACAATCATGGCTTTTCA